ATGTATCTGTCTATCATCTATCCATCCATGTATGTATCTGTCTATCCATCATCTATCTATTCTTCCTACCTGTCGTCTATTGTATCTACCTACCTACCTCATCTGTCATCTATCCCCCCACTTATGTTGTCTATGTATCTATTATCCATCTGTGTATCTATTATCTACCTGCATCTATCTAGCTATCATCTATTATCTATCTATCCATCCATTCTGTTTATCTATGTATCCATCTATCTATCGCCTGTATAACTATCCATCTATTATCTATCTATCTTCTATCCATCTATTCATCTTTCTATCATCAATGTGTTATCTATCGACCTATCTTCTATCCATCTATCCATCTATCTTTCCATGATCAATCTGTTGTCTATCTATCTAACCATCTATCCATCATCTATATTTTCATCTATCATCTATCAATCTATCATCTACCTATCATTCATCTATGTATCTATCTACCGATCTATCTATCTGTCTATCTATCTCCTATCATCCATTTATCAATCTATCATCTATCTACCCATGTATGTATCTATCTATCCATCTATTATCCATCCATGTATCTATCCATTTGTCTATATATATATATATATATTTTTTTTTTTGAGACAGAGTCTCACTCTGTCACCCAGGCTGGAGTGCAGTGGCGTGATCTTGGCTCACTGCAACCTCCGCTTCCTAGGTTCAAGCGATTCTCCTGCCTCAGCCTCCCGAGTAGCTGGGATTACAGGTGCCCACCACCACGCCCGGATAATTTTGTATTTTTAGTAGAGATGGGGTTTCACCTTGTTGGTCAGGCTGGTCTTGAACTCCGGACCTCAGGTGATCTGCTTGCCTTGGCCTCCCAAACTGCTGGGATTACAGGTGTGAGCCACTGCGCCCAGCCTTAAACTCCTTTATCTATCTATCTATCTAATCTATCTATCTATCTATCTATCTATCATCTATCTGTATCTATCTACCGTCTATTTTCTATCTATCTACCATCTATCTATATCTATCCACCTACTATCTATCTATCTATTTATCTATCTATGTATCTATCTGTCTATCTATCATCTATCTGTCTATATCTATCTACTATCTATCTATCATTTATCTGTATCTACCTACTATCTATCTATCATCTATCTATCTGTATCTATCTACCTACTATCTATCTATCTATCTATCATCTATCTATCTATCTATCTATATCTATTATCTATCTATCTATCTATATCTACCTACTATCTATCTATCTATCTATATCTATCATCTATCTATCTCTATCTATCTATCTATCTATCTATCTATCTATATCTATTATCTATCTATCTATCTATATCTACCTACTATCTATCTATCTATCTATCTATCTATCTATCTATGCTATTAGTTCTGTCCCTCTAGAAAACCCTGAGTAAAGCAATGGCGTTTTGTTTTTGTTTTTGTTTGTTTGTTTTCCAGCAGGATAAACAGACCAAGACAAGGAGCCTGTGAAGAGGATAAGACATTGGATCCAGCATCAAATAGGGTCTGTGTTTAAAATGCAAACCCCACAGAAATCAGAGACAGAAACACATTTGCCTTCTGCAGTGGAACAACATAGAAGCAGCATCAACACTGTTTTTTTTTTTTTTTTTAATGTTTTATTTTTATTTTTTACAGACACAGGGTCTCACCGTGTTGCCTAGATTGGCCCTTGAACTCCCGGACTCAAGCAGTCCTCCGGCCTGAGCCTCCCAAAGTGCTGGGATTACCAGCATGAACCACCTCGCCTTGATGGGGGCTGAGACTTTCTGGAATGCTTCCCTCTCTCCATGTCCTGCCAAGAACAGAAGTAAAGTTTTCCATCTTAAAACACGGGCGTGAGTCAACAGACACGTGCTATCTTTTTACTCAAAGCTCGGCAAGTGAACACACGGAGTCAGCTTCCAGGGAACATTCACGGATGTAAGACGGGGTGTCGGCCGCTCTCCATAGCCAAGTGGCTGCACAAATCGTAATAAAGGCAAAAAAAAAAAAAAAAATTGAAACACTTTGCCTGCTTGCAACGTCTTCATTTGTGGGAGGATGTCGGCGTTCTCTCACGGTGTCGAGGAAGGATATTGTCTCGGCTTCCTCTGACTCAAGCTCTCAGTTTTGTTTACAAGGCAGTTTAGGGATCTTCTGTGCATTGCTGTGAAGGTGCTACTCTGAGGTTTTTCACAGGTTCCGCCCCCCACCCCCACGAGACACACCCAAGGCCCACGCTGAGCGCCTGTGGTCGGATCTCCTACGGGGTCTCTTGCTGACTGAGGCCTTTCAGCCCTGGAGGCTTCTGTATCAGCTTTGCTTTCTAGGGTTCAGCTTTGGGACAGTCTAGAGAAGCAGGAGGGCAATTTCCCTCTTTCTGTGGAAGTTCTGGGTCTCTCCTGCAGCCCCCAGTTCCCTCTGGAGGCTCGAGGGGAGGATCCTTCCTGCCTCTCCCAACCCCTGGGGGCTCCAGGCGTCCCTGGGCTTGTGGCCGCATCACTCCAGTCTCTGCCTCCGTCTCCACGTGGCCTTCTCCTCTGTGTCTGTGTCTCCTCTTCTGTCTCTTATGGGGTCACCCCTCATTGGATTTAGAGTCCAAACCCAGTGCAAGACGATTTCCTTTTGAGATCCTTCCCTTAATCACATCTGCAAAGACCCTGTTTCCAAGTGAGGTCCTGTTCACAGATTCTAAGGTTTAGGACCTGGATACGTCTTTGGGGAATCCCCATTCAACCCACTGCAATTTGATTTGTTTCCTTTAGAAGCTCTAGGGGAGGATCCTTCCCGCCTCTCCCAGCTCCTGGGGGCTCCAGGCGTCCCTGGGCTTGTGGCCGCATCACTCCAGTCTCTGCCTCTGTCTCCAGGTGTCCTCCTCCTCTGTGTCTGCGTCTCCTCTTCTGTCTCTTAGAAGGACACCTGCCATTGTGTCTAGGGCCCACCCTATTCCAGAATGATCCAATCTCAAGGTCCTTAACTTAATCACATCTGCAAAGACCCTGTTTCCAAACAAGGTCTTACTCACAGGCTCTGAGCGTTAGGCTATGGACAGATGTTTCTGGGGGCCACTATTCAATCTACTACAATTGTATCCAATTCCTTCTGGGAGGCTCTAGGGGAGGATCCTTCCTGCCTCTCCCAGCTCCTGGGGGCTCCAGGGGTCCCTGGGCTTGTGGCCGCATCACTGCAGTCTCTGCCTCTCCTTCATCCATGTGTGGAAGAGCGCTGTTTCCCAGGGAGGTTCCCCCGCCTGGAGCCTGCAGACCAGCTCACAACAGTGGCTCATTTTTCTGGAGACAGGTGGACATTCAGGCTGCACTTGCTGGCGGTCCCACGTGTACGCCTGCCTCACTCGCCTTCACCAAAGACCACGGCTCGGCAGAGGGCAAAGGCGGGAAGGCCGGTTTCATGCCACGACGGCACGTGGGAGGGGGATCTGGAGCGTTCTGAAGGAGGGGATGGGGTGCTCGGTTTATGAAGCTGCACTTTATACAGAACCGTGGTCCTGGCCAGGCGCAGGGGCTCATGCCTGTCATCCCAGCACTTTGGGAGGCCGAGGTGGGCAGATCACCTGAGGTCAGGATTTGCAGACCAGCCTGGCCAACATGGTGAAACCCCGTCTCTACTAAAAATACAAAAATTAGCCGGGCGTGGTGGTGCGCACCTGTCATCCCAGCTACTCAGGAGGCTGAGGCAGGAGAATCGCTTGAACCCAGGAGGCGGAGCTTGCAGTGAGCCGAGGTCATGCCATTGCACCCCAGCCTGGGTGACAGAGTGAGACTCTGTCTCAAAAAGAAAAAAACAAAAACAACAAAAAAAAAACAAAACAAAAAACACCCAAAAACCAAAAACCAAAAAAACTCTGGTCCTTCAATCAAGAAAAATCAGAAAACGTGGGGCTCTTGTCTCCAGGGATCCTGGATGGCTTCATGATGTCATTCATGAAGCAGACTTAGGGGGTGATGGAGAGAATGAGCCACCAGACTGCTGGGCATTGCAAAAAAAAAAAAAAAAAAAAAAAAAAAAAAAAACAGCTCCCTGTGCTGTCCAGACAAAAAACAAACAAAAAACAAAAACAAAAAAAAAAAAAGAGCATTACACATTACAGGGACATCATTCTTCCAGGAGCCTTCATCTGTCTCTAGTGGCCATAGCTGGGAGATTACATCGAAAAAGCACAAAAGAAGTGAAAAGGAAAATGGCCTGTCCCTGCCTTAAGTGATGACATTACCTTGTGAAATTCCTTCTCCCGGCTCATCCTGGCTCAAAAGCTCCCCCAGTGAGCACCCCGTAACCCCCCACCCCTGCCCACCAGAGAACAACCCCCTTTGACTGTAATTTTCCTTTATCTATCCAAATCCTGTAAAACGGCTCCACCCTTATCTCCCTTTGATGACTCTCTTTTTGGACTCAGCTCGCCTGCACCCAGGTGATTCAAAAGCTTTATTGCTCACACACACACACACACACACACACACACACACAGCACTCCCTGGGATCCAGCCTGCGGCACAGCGGGGCCTCCCGAAATGACCCACCCAGGAACCAGCGCATTGCACTGGTCCACGTCACAGTTCCAGGATGTCAGAGGGGGATTCAATGCGTGTGTGCATCGGCGGGAGCTGCTGAAATGAAATCCCAGAATTCCTAGAAACTGGGGGCTTAACGCCAGTTTATCCTCCTCCAGTCCTGGAGACCAGAAATTTGAGATCCAGGTGTGCCAGGGTCAAACACTGCCTGGAAAGCTCCAGGGGAGGATCCTTCCTGCCTCTCCCAGCTCCTGGGGGCTCCGGGCATCCCTGGGCTTGTGGCCGTGTCCCTCCAGTCTCTGCCTGGGTCTCCACGTGGCCTTCTCCTCTGCGTCTGTGTCTCCTCTTCCGTCTCTCACAGGGACACTGGATTGGGCCCATTGTAAATGCAGGATGACCTCGCCTTACTTCATGACATTTGTAAAGAGCCGATTTTCAAACACGGTCCCATCCTGATGTTCCCAGTGGGAATGATTGGATTCATGACTAAGCCATCTCTGTCTTCCTTCCATGGTGGTGATAGCAGGAGAGAGGCACCAACAGAGGTCCTCTGAACAGCAGCTTTGGCCTCTGTCGGTATCCCCAGTGCACAGGAAGGGAGGGGCTGGGCATCCGAGGCCACCCACTATGGAGACACAGAGCCCCTGGGCAGATGGCTGGCTCTCCCATTCCCGCCTCCAGAACCGTGTTTCTCACCCAACAGAGCCAGGAATCCAATTCCCTGTGATGTTCGGACGCCCGTGGGGAGTCAGAGCTCTTCTTTACGCTAAACCAGCTCAGGTATTGGGGCTGGCACAGGCACGTCCCGTATGCAGAAGAAGGAAGACAAACACACAGCCTGCTCACCACCCACACAGCGTGGAGGGGGCCCAGCGACTGACACCCCTGCAGGTTCCTGGGGTCCACAGCTGTGTCCGGTGCTTGATCTCCAAACGGTCTCACAGGTCTTGCCAGTTGCCTGCTCCCCGGACCCCGGATGGACTCGCCAGCGGGGGAACAGGATGCAGACAATGGGCAGAAGGCTGGGAACTCCGGAATCAAGCTGCGTCCTTGGGTTGGGGCGTGATGGGACCCATCTCACCGAGCCTCGTTTCCACACCTGGGCCTCCGAGGTCCTCATCCTGAGTCAGGGAGGCCTAATGGTGGTCCAGGGGCCTGATGGGACCTCCTTCCCTCTCAGGGATTCACAGAAGCAGAAGAGGGGTGGGGGGCCCTCCAAGCCAGGTCAGAACAACCGTGCCAGGAATCATCGTGGTCAGCTCCAGGTTGGCAGGTGCGGTGGGGCAGGGAGCAGATGTGGGGAACACGGGAGTAGTTGACTTGCAGGAACCTCAGGTGCTCCTGGAGTCATCAGAGATGAAATATATAAATCTGTCCTCATTCCTCTGAAAGACGAATTCCAACCTCAACCACCACAGTGGCCCTGAGTGAAATCAACAGCAATGTCGGTGTGCACCACGCTAAGGAGACCAGCACCTCTGGGGGAGAATAGAGAAGGCCAGAACCACAGCTAAGGGACGATGTCAGCCAGGAGAGGAGCTGGGAATGGGGCTGGCAGGTCACCCAGGGAGGATATATCCAGAAATGGAGTGGCAGAGGGAGCGGGGCTGGTTGAACGTCCATGCTTGGGGACGGACAGGTGTGAGAAGGAGTGTCTGAGGAACTCTGGGGTGGACACCCCGGCTCCACTAAAAAAAAAAATACAAAAATTAGCAGGTCATGGTGGCACACACTGTCTGGTGCACGACACAGAGAGGCAGAGGCCCCCTCTGCAGCCTCACAGAGTGCCCTGTGCCCCTCTGGGCTTTGCTGGTTTCTCCACCCTCAGTGAAACCTGGAGACCCTTCCTCACCGGTGCCTCTGCAGTGCCTGGGAGAAACGCAGCTGTTCTCCCTGAACCTCTGGCACCGTGGCCTCTCCATGCGCCCCTGGCTCTCCAAGCTGCACCCCCGGGGACTCAGAACTCGCTCTCCTGCCTCATGAGGCCGGGCCTGGGGGCTCCCTGCAGCCCTTCGGGATGCGCACCGGCCTCGGAGCGCACGGACGTGGTCCTGGCGGAGAAGAGGCTCTCGCGGCGCGTGTCCAGGGGGTCTCCGGGCCCCCGACGGCAGCCCAGATATTCCCGCAGGCGCAGCTGGAATTCCCGGGAGGCGAAGTAATACACAAACGGGTCCAGACAGTTGTTGAGGCAGCTGAGACACAGCGTGAGCTTGTAGACGTGGTAGTAACTCTTGCCATAGAACAGGCGACCCACGATGTGCGCCAGGAGCACGAAGTTGTTGGGGGCGAAGCAGGTGACGAAGGCCAGCAGGACCACCACGGCCAGGCCCACCGCGCGCCTCCGCTGCTCCCGGCCGTGCGCCTCCTCCGTGCGTAACAGCTTGAGGATGGTGGCCGTGTAACAGGCCACGGTGACCACGAAGGGGATGAGGAACAGCAGGATGAAGATGGTGAAGAGGAACACGGCCCACATGGCCACGCTGGGGAGCATGGTCCACTTGAGCACATCGAAGCAGGTGACGATGCCCAGGGCGTGCACCGGGTAGGTGAGGTCGGTGCGCGCCAGCGGGGACAGGGCGGCCAGGAGCAACAACCAGGTCCCGGCGCACGCGGCCACCGCGTAACGACGACGGCGCCAGCGCTTGGAGCTGAGCGGGTACAGGACCCCCAGGAAGCGCTCCACGCTGATGCACGTCATGGTGAGGATGCTGGAGTACATGTTGGCGTAAAAGGCCACGGTCACCACGTTGCACAGCAGCACCCCGAACACCCAGTGGTTGCGATTGCAATGGTAGTAGATCTGGAAAGGCAGCACGCTGGCCAGCATCAGGTCCGTGACGCTCAGGTTGATCATGAAGATGACCGATGGGGATCTGGGCCCGATGCGTCGGCACAGGACCCACAGGGAGAACAGGTTCCCCGGGATGCTGACCAGAGCCACCAGCGAGTACACCACGGGCAGGGCCACCGCGATCGTCGGGTTCCGGAGCATCTGCAGCGTCGCGTTGTCCGGGCCGGTGCTGTTGGGGACGTGCATCCTGGAGGGGTCCTCGCCCGGGCTCTGCAAAGGGAAGGGCGCACGGCTCAGGGGCGCGCGCGGGGAGGTGGCTGCCGGGAGGGCTCCCCGGGGACCGAGGAGGGCGGGGACATGCGTTAGCAGGGCTCCCTGTCTCCTCCATCCCTCCCGCCCTTCCTCCCTCTTTCCCTCTCCTCCTTCTTCTTTCCCTGACTCTCTGCTTCCTTCCTTCACCCTCTGTCGTTTTCTTCTTTCCTCTCTTCTCCCCTTTCTCCTTCCTTCCTCCTCGCTCCTTCCTTCTCTCCTTCCTTCCTACCTTCTCTTCTTTCCTCCTTCCTTCCCTTCTTTTCTTTTCTCCCCACTCCCTCCCTTCTTCCCGCCCTTCCTTCCCTCACTCCCTCCCTCCCTTCTCTGCTTTCTTCCTTCCTTCCCTCCTTCCTTCTTTCCCTCCTTCCTTCTTTCCTCTCTCCCTCCTTTCTCCCTTCCTACCTTCCATCTTTCCTCTTTCTCCTCTTTCCTTCCTTCCCTCCCATCCTTTCTTCTCTTCCCTCCCTCCTTCCTTCATTCTATTCCCTTTCCTCCCTCCTTCTTTCCCCCTTCCCTCTTCCCCCTTCCTTCCTCCATCCCTCTCCTTCCTTCCCTCCTTCCTTCTTTCCTCTCTTCCTCCTTTCTCCTTCACCTTCCATCTTTCCTCTTTCTCCTCTTTCCTTCCTTCCCTCCCATCCTTTCTTCTCTTCCCTCCCTCCTTCCTTCATTCCTTCCTTCCCTCCCTCCCTCTTTCCCTCCTTCCCATCCTTTCTTCTCTTCCCTCCCTCCTTCCTTCATTCCTTCCTTTCCTCCCTCCTTCTTTCCCCCCTTCCCTCTTCCCTTCCTTCCCTCCATCCCTCTTTCCTTCCTTCCCTCCTTCCTTCTTTCCCTCTCTTCCTCCCTTTCTCCCTTCCTACCTTCCATCTTTCCTCTTTCTCCTCTTTCCTTCCTTCCCTCCCATCCTTTCTTCTCTTCCCTCCCTCCTTCCTTCATTCCTTCCTTCCCTCCCTCCCTCTTTCCTCCTTTCCCTCTTCCCTTCCTTCACTCCTTCCCTCCCTCCCTCCTTCCTGCCTTTCTCCCTTCCTACCTTCCGTCTTTCCTCTTTCTCCTCTCTTCTTCCTTCCCTCCCTCTTTTCTTTCCTTCTTTGCTCCCATCCTTCCTTCTCTTCCCTCCCTTCTTTGTTCCTTCCTTCCTTCCCTCTCTCTTTCCTCCCTTCCCTCCTCCCTTCCCTCCCTCCCTCCCTCCTTCCTCCCTTTCTCCCTTCCTTCCTACCTTCCTTCTCTTTCCTCTTTCTCCTCTCTCCTTCCTTCCCTCCCTCCTTTCTTTCCTCCTTCCCTCCCCTCCTTCCTTCTCTTCCCTCCCTCCCTTCTTTGTTCCTTCCTTCTCTCCCTCCTTCCTCCCTTCCTTCCTACCTTCCTTCCGTCTTTCCTCTTTCTCCTCTCTCCTTCCTTCCCTCCCGCCTTTCTTTGTTCCTTCCTTCCCTCCCTCCCTTCTTTGTTCCTTCCTTCCCTCCCTCCCTCCTTCCTCCCTTTCTCCCTTACTTTCTACCTTCCTTCTGTCTTTCCTCTTTCTCCTCTCTCCTTCCTTCCCTCCCTCCTTTCTTTCCTCCTTCCCTCCCATCCTTCCTTCTCTTCCCTCCCTCTCTCCTTCATTCCTTCTTTCCCTCCCTCCCTCTCTCCTTCCTTCCTTCCTTCCTTCTTTCCTTCCCCTCCCTCCCTCCCCTCCTTTCTTTCTTCCTTCCCTCCCATCCTTCCTTCTCTTCCCTCCCTTTCTCCTTCATTCCTTCTTTCCCTCCCTCACTCCTTCCTTCCTTCCTTCCTTCCTTCCTTCCTTCCTTCCTTCCTTCCTTCCTTCCGAGATGCAGTCTGGCTCTGTTGCCCAGGCTGGAGTGCAGTGGCACAATCTGTCCTGCACAACCTCTGCCTTCCTGGTTCAAACAGTCCTGCCTCAGCCTCCCATGCTTGGGACTACAAGTGCTGCCGCCCGCCTTCTTTGTATTTTTAGTAGAGACGGGGTTTCACCATGTTGGCCAGGCTGGTCTTGATCTCTTAACATTGTGATCCACTGCCTTAGCCTTCCCAAAGTGCTGAGATTACAGGCGTGACCACTGCCCAGGTGATGTTTAATATTAGTGTTTGGGAACTCAGTCACTCCACTAGCAAACCAGCACGGATAAAACGCAAACATCAGGCGGGCGCCATTGGTGCTCACAGTTGAAATTCTAGCACTTTGGGAGGCTGAGGTGCAGTGGATCACTGTAGTCGGGAGTTCAAGGCAGTCTAGTCAATGGTGAAACCCCATCTCTACTTAAAACACAAAAATCAGCCAGCGTGGCAGGTGCACATAATCCCAGCCATTGGGAGGCTGAGGCACGGGAAGAATCGCCTTGAGAACCTGGGAGGCGGAGGTTGCAGTGAGCTTGAGATTGCCTTTCACACTCAGTCTAGGGAAACAGAGTGAGACTCATCTCAAAAAAAGAAAAGAAAAACAAAACAAAGAAAACAAAAAAAAAAACTCCAAACATCACAGAGACAGAGCAATGTTTAAAAAGAAAATAGCATGTTAATTAGGGTTTTTTTCTTTTTGTTTTCATGACTTAGAGTCTCACTTTGTGACCCAAGCTGGAGTGTAGGCTGGGCTCCGTGGCTCACGCCTGTCATCATATTTTGGGAGGCCGGCGGACCGGATCACCTCGAGTCAGGTTGAGACCAGCCTGGCCAGGCGGCCCAGAAACCCCGTCTCTACAAAAACACAAAAATGTGCCCGGCGTGGTGGCGGGCGCCTGTTATCCCAGCTCCTCGGGAGGCTGAGGCAGGAGAATCGCTTGAACCCGGGAGAGGAGGTTGCAATCAAACCGGAATCGCACCGACACCCAGCCTGGGTGACAGAGTAAACCCTGTTTCTAAATAAATAAATAAATAAATAAATAAATAAATGGTAATGCTTGGCGGCGGCATCTGTGAAGGTACTGGACTTGCTGAGTGTGGGTGAAGTGGCACACAGGCTGGTGAGCGATGTGGTTGGTTTTGAAACAATCAGACAGCAAAAATTATGTCTCAGGCATAAGCTTAGAAAATATAAATTATCTTTCTTAACAAAAAATCTAACCATCCAAACTATGAAGTACTTAGTTTAGCGGCAACTAGGCCCGGCAGGCGGGGCCGGAGGCAGAAGCAGAGATGGATGAGGCGGCTTGGCACACGGGATGCAACCACCAGCAGACACAGATAGCACGAAGGATAAAAATAAGACCAACTCTCCTTCCAAGCTGATTCCTGCTTTGACCTGGAGACTCAAGCTGCTGCTAGTTTAGAACAGCACCCACAGTGTTAGAAAACTATGAAGGAGGTCAGCCCGTCTTGGTGACCCCAGAGGTGACCTCCCATGCCCCTCAGACCCACAACAGCCAACTCGTTTTGTTTTTCAGAGCGGACTTTTCTCTTGTCTTGAGCTGCGTGCAATGGCATGATCTTGGTTCACCGCAACCTCCGTGTTCATGGTCTCTGCCTCCCAGTCTCTGGTAGCTGGGATTGGCGCCCGCCACCTGGCGTCTGGCTAATTTTTGTGTTTTGTTAGAGATGAGGTTTCCACCGTGTGTGTTGCTCAAGCTGGTCTCAAACTCCTGATCTCATGATCTGCCCTCCTTGGCCTCCCAAAGCGCCGAGATTACAGGTGAGCCACGGTACCCAGCCCTCTGTTATTTCTAAGATGGAGTCGCTCTTGTCGCCCAAGCTGAGGGTGCAATGGCACGATACCTCCAGCTGCAACCTCCACCTCTCAGGTTCAGCAGTTCTCCTGCTCAACCTCCCGAGTAGCTGGGATGACAGTCTGTGCCTGCCGCCAGGTTAATTTTTGTATTTTTTGTAAGAGATGGGGTTGCACTATGTTGGCCAGGCTGTGGTCTCAAACTCCTGACCTCAGGTGATCCGCCCATCGTGCCTCCCAAGGCGCTGGGATTGCAGGCTTGAGGCCCTGCACCTGGCCATGTTAATTCTTCAGGAATCAACAGAGGCCCCTTGCTCTGAGCTGCCACCACCCCCGGCCCTGTTTGTGACGACCAATGGGTTTCTGTGGATGGAGGATTTCAGGTGCTAAAACCAGAGCCCAAGCAGCACCCATGGGGCCGCCTATCTGTTGGGTGACCTGACTCTCAGTTCTGTCCTGGGAGACGTGGGATTTTAAGCCTGACCTTGCAAGCTTCTGCAGGGCTCCTATCCAGCCTCTTCCTTCCTGAGACAATCTCTCATGTCTTCAAAGCTCACGGAGCCGGCCGGAGATCCCGGGGACCTCTTCGAGCGGCGTCTTGGAAGGAGGTAGCTCGTCTTCTCAGATCTCACGTCCAGGCTTGAGTCTGGATCTTGATCAGGCTCCAGAGGCGTGCAGCGTGCCAGGCCAGGGGCTCTCGTGCATCCCTGTAGCCAGTGCTGTTGTTTAAGCCTGTGTTTGACTTTCTGATGCGTTTTTCACTTCCATTTTCGTTTTGATGTATTTAGTGATGGAAGCCGGGTCTTGCTCATGCCCAGGCTGGAGTGCAGTGGTGACGTTGCCAGCTCCCTTGCAGCCTCAACCTCCTGGTGTGAACCGATCCTCCCACCTCAGCCTCCTGAGCAGCTGAGACTGGTGCGTACCACCACGGCCTGGCTAATCTTTGACCTTTTGAAGATGGGGGTCTGCTATGTTGCCCGTCTTAGTTTTCATTTTTGTTATTATTGTGTGTCTTTTTGAGATGGAGTCTCGCTCTGTCACCCAGCCACGGAGTACAGCGGTGCAATCTCAGCTCACTGCAACCTCCGCCTCACGGGTTCAAGTGATTCTCCTGCCTCAGCCTCCCGAGTACCTGGGATGTAGGCATGTGCCACGCCACACCCAGCTAACTTTATATTTCAGTAGAATGAAATTCCTATATTAACCAAGATGGTCTAAATCCTACAACCTGTGATCCACCTCGGCCTCTGCCTGCAGACAGCAAGCGTGAGCACGCGCCGGCAGTTTCATTTTATTTATTAGCCTTTTTTGA